CTGAACTTGCCGGGGTCGGCTGGCCGGTCCGAGTCAAATGAAGCAGCGGGTACCGCGAACTTGTGAGGTTTTTTCGCAAGCTCTCGGACAAGCACTGAGCATACAGTACTTATTAATATACGTTGGGTAAGGGCAAACCTGTTATATATAATTAACATCTCCCCAACGCGAAAATACATCTTGAAAAAGATGTTCTGTGTGTTTAAAAAAAATTGAACAAGGTGATTTCCTATGTGCTGTTTACTCTTCAGACAGACAAACCTCTCAATGAGGTGATGAATGGCTGTATTTAGAAACCTTAGCTATCCTCTGAAGATAGACAATATTGTGCTGAGTGGGTTCTGGCCAATCAGTGGTCTCGTTACACGCCGGTAGGAACACTTCATTTAGCAGTTGCTACTCATGCCGCTGTTTCTTTCTATGGGGCATTATTGCTTGTGTGGTCAGTCAGTTACCGGCAAACCAAACAGTTTATGCCTTCTGTGTTAAATGTGAAATGTCACGCTCGATACTGCTTCTTTCATTGCAGTAGGTTTGTGGTTGACTTGGTAAATGGGCCCGTACCGGAAATTTGCCAGCATTTGCCATTTTATTGGCATTTCCCACAAAAATCCTCTGCAAACACTGGTAGATTGTTGCAATGTAGGCTTTTATGGGCTGTGGGTTAGTGCTGCTTGGACGTCTCATCATTGCTTGTTACTTGCTCCGAACTCCAATCAGAATTGGCCTCATTCACACATCAGTCATTTTGAATTAAAAGTGAGGTTCACCTTTCTAATTTTGGCACCAGAGAACACAAATGAAAGGATTAAAATAAAACTGCATTACAAATTAAATTTCACTTTACTGATGAAGAATACAATTTGAGATTGATTATACCAAAATATTTTAAGCCTCATTTTAGAAAATTAAAGTGAGGTATTGAACCCAAAGTAGTCTGGCTCCACTCCATTTAACAGATTTTAATGAATAATTAGATTTAGGAAACACAATCCAAAATGGCTTCTCTGTGAATAAGGTCTGTTGGATTAGTAGGAAGGTAAGGCCCAGTGCATATTAAAGTTCATGATCTCAGTTGCGTAGGCGATCAGTGTGTCACATGCTGACTTAATATTAATATGAAAGGTCTCTTTTGGTGGTGGTTGCCGTTAACCTACCTGACAAGCGTGTAAAAACAATACAGTAAACCTTTCTCTTTTCTCCACTTTCACATAACAGGCTTATAGGCACAAAGGAAAAAAGGTGCCGCAACCCCTTGCGTAAATACAGCACCTGTGCTGAAACGAGTAAATTGAACAAGTGCTTAAGAATTTATTGTAATCTATATGAATGAGCAGCTGTAACCAAGTTTAGTAGATTTCCAGCTGTTTTGGGCACTGTGCAGGCCTTATCACAAGATGGCACACATGCTTTGGCTGCAAAAAAGCGTCAGGAGGCCCATGTCTTTAATACTCGGACAGGTGTTAGTTGAGAGCCGTATGGCCCTCAAATAGTAGTGTTGATTGCACACCTCTCATCTTTGAAAAGTCAGAAATAGGAACACCTGTTTTACGAATCACGGATAACGAAGCAAGGTGCACCAAGGAAGTTTTGTGTATGTACAATTGTGAATTGCAGGTTTCAACTTTGAAAGGGTACCTTATGGGAATGGTTCATATATTTTCAGAACACGAAATGAAACTTTTGGGGATATGCAGGAATTGCACTTTTCCCTTTTCACTCTTGCACGGAAGTTGTTCTGAACTCTGAATTTCTGCAAACATTCCTGTGACTTACCCTTTCCATATCACCTTAAAAATAATTTGTTCTGCAAGAAAATCTCTGCTGAGAACTTAAGGCTAAGCGCAGCGAAGTCCCATGTTAAATAAAAAACAAAAATTAGCAAGTACATGTAGCCTCCTCTGTTGGTCTACACAGGCAGATATCTGTATAGCAAGCACTGCCCTCTTTGCCAGACATTTTTTTTAAAATCTTTTTAAACATGCTCTTTTGTCAGAAATCAGTTCCAATTTTTGGCATTCTGTAAACTGTAAAATCTGGACAAATCAGATAGGTCGGCAGCTGTGAAATTGGGCCATAATCGGTCCATAAAATACAGAATACGTGTTGTCCACACAGAGTGGTCAATTTGTATTTGGCAGGACCACAGAATTGCAGAGCTTGTGGGTCCAGCAGGTAATGCTAATGCCATTTCTAACAGCTTCATCCCCAGCTTTGGTCTCAACTGGGCACCAGAGCATCACATTGAAATGCTCACAGTTGGAACAGAACCATAAAATGCTCTAAAATTCAGCCTCTCAGTAGACAAGTTGGTGTTTCTCTTGTAGAGATGGTTCTGCATTGAGCCAGATGATCCTTGATTGAGGTTTGAGGAATGTGGGGTTGAAGCCCGGATGTAAAGCTAGAGGCAAAGCCAAGTATGGCAGAGGAACCTATATGTAGCTTCTTTTCACAATTTTTGCTTTGTTTACAACTCTGTTTATTGATGCTTTTTTTCAACAATTTCAATTTCAGCTGAGATTCACATAAATCTGAATTGCTGCTTCAATTTCATTTTGAAATGTCCTCCACTTCAACTCAGGATGTGCAGAACCAGCAGGCCTACAACCAGTACTTGCAGCAGCAAGCGCAGCAGCCGCAGCAGCCTGAAGCACTGGATGAAGCTGCTCGGCAACGGTACATCCAGGAGCAGCAAGAATTGCTGCAGAAGGAGCAGCACCGGCAGCAGCTTGAACAACTGCAGCAGCAACAGGAACTGCAGGAGCCTGACAGCAACGAGAGAGGGTGAGTCTTGCCACCTGAAAATAAAAACCACACTTGTTTCTCACTCGTGGCTGCGTCCAAATAAAGCGAAAGAAATCACTTTATAATTGTAAGATTCAGTCTTGAACTGCATGCCACAACAGACTCGGCCCAGGTGCTGTTTAGTTTTAGAAATTTTTGATAATCACAATGAGAGGATGCTAAAACTGCGGTCCTCATAACACTGGACTTTTACAAATGCTAATATTCTGCCCAAGAAGGGTGCAACATTCCCTTCTGAATCATTGCTTTCTTGAAACTCTTACACAATTTCATGAAGCGATATCATATTTGGTACAACGCCCAGCTGAGGCCCGACACTGCACAGCCACTTGACGGCTCCACACACGCTCAAACTCCATGGGCGAGTTTTAACCCCTTGTGTACATACTGACTGAATGGAAATTACTCGAGTGTGGGAATGAGTGTAAATGCCACACGGCATTTACTCATTTTCAGGCTGTGAACGTACAAACAAATGCTTGCTGGTGTGTTTTGGAGGATCTAGCAAAAAAGGAGTTTCATATCTGACAACATGAATCGATCCCAAAAAGTAACTTGTTCTTTGTGAGGTACTTGCACATCACTGTAATTTGATGTATCTTTTGATATATTTTACTTCATCATCACAGAGTTCCATTGGAAGTTGACCGTCCGCAAGAAGCAGGGCAAGGTAACGTTTTTGCCATCTGAAACATTTTTACATTAGTGTTGGCTCACTGGTACAAGGAACTTATGTTTATTGGTGCAAAGAACCTGTTTCTTATCCAGTGGCCAGGCTTTTTATTTGGATCACACGTTGTTGTAACAGATCGTCGGGATCCAGGCCCTGTCAACATGATCGAGAATGAGGTGGACCAGCAGAGACAAGAGGAGAAGACGCAGGATGAAGCTGGGCAGAAAGTAGAGGAGGAGACTAAAGACAGAGAAGAGGAGGAAGAGAATGTCGCACGCCAAGACGGTGGGGAAGAAGACAATGGGGGACCGGCTTACCAGGATGGAGGTGGGTGGAATCAATTTGCCTTAGTTACCATGCTTAAACTTCAGCAGACTTCAGCCCTAGCCTGGCCAATCGGAACAGCATTGAACAGTTGTATAGTGTCGGATTTATGAGTTACCACGAGTGGCTGGGATGTTTTGCATTGGTTGTATGCCTACTTAGCGCAGGAACAAGCTATAGCTGGTTTTGTAATGACTTTGGAACAACTTTCCTGTGATGGTAAACCGCTGCTTGCCCACACAGGTTCGGCCATGTTTGGTGTGGTGGGGTAATTTCTGTTGAAATGTGCGGGCTTTTTTGTGGGCCTTGTGCGCCAAGTTGAACGTTTTCCTTGCCAATCAGTCTCATTGCTGGTGAGAAGATATTTCTAGTCAGGGTGGATATGTAGCACATAGCATAGCACCACCGAGTCTGCTGTTCATAGGGTCGGTGTTTCAGCTGTGATTGTTTCTGTTGCATTAACCCAGAGAAAACCAGGAGGGGTTAGAAGTTACTGATTTTATGAACCGTGTCCCAACTTTGTACTAACCTATGAGTACAGGCAACTGTCTGGCGGTGTTTATACTTGTTATCTCCTTAACCACTTCGTGCCGGGGCATTTTTCAACGTTGATGATGCTGGGCCGGCATGACTATCATTTTTTCCGTTTTCAAAATCCTTCAACAATTCATCATTCCATTTAACGGTCGTTTATAGCCGCACCAAGTAATCTTTGGGCACTACTCTAAGTTGACAGGTGACCTTCATTGATGCCCGAGTATTTCAGCCAGGCCTGTA